AATACCACAGGATTAACCTTTTCAATTCAAAGACAGGTCAGATTGGGTTAAAGCAAAACCCCTTAGAGTACTCAAGGTATTTTCTGGTTTCTGTTACTATTTTTTCAAAGAAAATTAGTACCTCAAACCATCTAAGGGGGTCTAAGGCTTTAGGAATCCCAAGAAAAAGGAAGAAGGAACTAGAGCCTTCCCTGACTGTACCTCTCTGACTGAACCTCTGTCAGTTTCACAGCTTCAGCCTCAGGTACTGTGCACTCAGCATATCCTTCCTTCACTGTGACCTCTTGGTCCTCTGTGCTTTAGGGCCCTCTATTTTTCCTGCAAGCTATCAGATCATAACATTTTAAGTTTGTCCCTAATTTGGAAACTAAGTCCTAAGCCAAGGTCAGAGGAAAAGTAAAGTTCAGGGAGGGGAACAGATGGGCTTTAACTACCATTCTCAGAAGTGACTCACCAGGGAGCCAGATGCAGCATCCCCCTCCTTCAATCCTGAAGCTTTCCTGTGTCTCAAGTAAGGAAGAGAAAAGCAGCTTTGCCCCTGACACTGATCAGATATTAGCATGTCCACCATCTGCCTTTGTACCCTCTAGAAAGTCCACCAGCAAAATAGAGGCAGGTTTGTTCTGTCAAAGGAGAAAACATAAACTAACTTTTACAGTTCCTCTGATTCTAGAATATGAATTTTCTTTTCCCATCACCACCCCAAGACTGATGATCAGGCCTTTTCTATGAATACTTGAACAGTAATAACCATACCAATATGTATTAAACTCTCACCATACTCTGTTCTAAATACTTGACATGTATTAACCCTTTGCAGTAGCTACTATTATATTACCCCCATTTTATAGATAAGGAAACAGAGGCATAAAGAAGTTAAGGAGTTACCTCCCAGAGTCACAGAGCTAGTAAGAATCTAAGCCAAGACAACTTCAGTTCCTATATTCTATTTCCCTCCTTTTTTACTATAAAATATTCACACATGCAGAAAAGTGGAAAGAATAATACAATAATCAAACATACATCTGCCACTTAAATATTAACACCCTGCCATTTTTAAATCTGTGTGTATAATTTTTCTGCATGTATGAAATTTCTACACACCGAGATACTTCTCCCCAAAACACTTCTGCTTGCAGTTCCTAACGATAAGGACATACCACAACACTATTATCACACCCAAGAAATCAGTAATTCCCTATCACTATCTAATATCTAATCTATCTTCAAAATACTCTAAATGTCCCCAAAACATCCTTTATAAATGTTTTTTTACAAACCAGAATCTAATCAAGACTCACCTATTTAATCAGGTTACTCTTTCTTTAATCTAGACCAGTCCCTTTTTCTTTTTCCATGACATTGACTTTTTGAAGTGAACCCGACCAGGTGCCTTATAGATTGTCCTACATTCTGGTTGTTTTATTGTTTCCTCATGTTATCCTTTAACTTGTTCTTCTGCTCATGTACTTCCTAAACACCAGAAGTCAGATCAAAGGCTTTAATTAAGCCTAAAATTTTGGGCAAAGACACTTTGGAGTTGAGGCTGTTGCTCTGTGCTGCATCATATCCAGAAACACATCAGGTCAGGTTGTCCCACTGTCAGTGATGCTGAGTTGGACTGCTTGGGTACAGTGGTAACCGTCAGAGCACTTCTTTGTAAAGATACAAGGTTCATTTTCCCCCTTGGCTACTAGCAAATAATTGGGTAGACTGGGGACAGGGGGGAGGTAATAGTCTGATACCATGCAAATGCAAATATCCTATTGCCAAACACCTTTCACCTAAGATTTCAGCATCCATTGATGATCTTTGCTGGACTGAATAATTTCACTGGTGATTTATCATTCTGTAATTCCTTCTACAGTTATAAACTGGAGTTTTTCTGTAAAGAGCTTTCCTTCCTCAACTAGGGAAAAACTATAGCTCCTTTTTAAAAGACAGCGTAACTACTTAGTTCTTTCCTTTTGATTATTGATTTTCAGAGTAATAAACTGGTAAAATAGCCACATCTAATGATGGCATATATATTTTTTTCTCCTTGCCCCTTTAACAAGCATCACTATGGACATAAGGATTTTTATTTACTCAGTTTTATAATTACTTGCAGTCATTAATCTTTTGCTGATCAGAATATCCTAAATTTAGCCAGTAGGAACTCCTTTGGCTGATTCCACTGTTATTTTGATGTAGCGTCATTAATCTTTGAGATTGCTTTGCTTTCTGTGTTAAGATGTCCCAGGCAAGCCTGTGCTCTTATGTACTATATTACACAACCTTTCCTAGAGGGAAGTATGTGGGTGGAGGGCACAGAAAAAACCTGAGAAAAGAAAATGTCAAGAGCAGATTTATCACTTCCTTGAGGCTATCAAATCAATTGTGATTTGGGGGTTGAAAGGATTCTTAAGATTATCAGATCCAGCTACCCATGCTGATGCTTACAGGTTTGTTAAGACTCCTCAACAAGGTTCCATTCTGCTCGTCGCCTAAACACCACGATCCACAGGAAACTCTCCACACTGTCACAGCACTGCTTTACACTGAGCTGCTTTAGTTCTAGTTTTTCTTCTAGGAACCCATGAATCTCTGTAAAACTCAGGTCAAATGGGTTCACTTGATGATCTCTGAGGAACTCAGCACTAAAGGATAATTTCCTCTTCTGTTCCCTCCCTCATATTTAAACAAGTGGGTTTATTTCCTGGATGTGACTGGATTGATTTTCCAAATACCCTATCATGACTCACAAGGCCCTAATGCCTTTCAAGGCCATTTCATATACTTACATAAAAACATGTAAATATAGTATGGGCTGGGATTTTCATTTCTACATAAATGGGACCCTTAAATTCATCTCAAACTCTTCCCAGTCCTGTTCCCCCTGTTCCCACAGTCAATTTTACCTCCTAGAATTCTCCATCCAGTCCCTCATCTCTCCATTTCCCCTGACACTGGTTTTGGCCCCTGATCTAATACAAAGGTCTAACCTTTCCTAACCTCAGCTCCTCTGTGACATGACACTTCAATCCATGACACAGGCTGCTGCAGGAGCAGCCTTCCTGCAGCACTGCCCTGCTCAGCAATCTTCCACGGTTGTGTATCTGCAGAGTCTAGCAAACTGTCCAGCATACTGAAGGTGCTCCGTAAATACTGGGAGGGAGGGGCTGAATAAGTGACTGGCTGAGCTGCTTGATTTCATGACTCAGTTGTACTGTCCATTATTGCCAGAAGGAAATTTCCTTGAGTTTTATACAAAAGCTATTTTACATAAAAGAGTCTTTAGAAAATAGCTCGGCAAACCATTAAAAAAATTTCAGTCATTTCATGTGTACAAATACGTATTTTTTTATAGTATAAAAAAGCCAACTGATAAATAGTTGTACAAAAAATCTGTTTTGTGTACTGTTCTTAGTACTCAAACTTTCCAAAGAATAAACTGTAAATATGAAGTAAGAAAGTAAGTAGAAGCAGCATATTGTTATGTAGAAAAATGATCAGATGCAACAAGAATCTAGAAAGCAAACCAAAGTAAAATAACTTCACAGAATGATGATACATTCATTAAGCTAACATTCAAATCAAACTAGGGCTGACAGCTGGGAGGAAATAGTTCGTTTCAGTTTAGACACTGATAGTGGCACTACAAATTGGTTCAGTCTTTCTGTATTGCACAGTAACAACAATAAAACTTCTCACACCTTTGGGACCAATGATTCAGCTAGAGGGACACACCTGAAGGAAATAACTTAAAGAAAAACAAACTTCTGTAATATTTATATTAGTGACAACTAGGGCACATCTTAAATTCCCCAAACAGGAAAAAGCCCAAGAAAGACCAAGCCAACCAGTATCACTGTGTACATCAATACAAAGATATATTATTAAGTCACTTAAAATGACAAGCATATGACAGAGAAGACAAGTAATAACTCTACAGCATCTTACTATGCTGATGGACAGTGATTGCAATGGGGTGGGGGGGACTTGATAATATGGGTGAATGCTGAAACCACAATTTTGCTCAAGTGAAACCTTCATAAGATTGTATATCAGTGATACCTTAATTTTTAAAAATGACAAGTATATGGCCTATTTCAATAAATGGAAGTAAACACTTAGTTTTAGCAACAATGCTTAAGGAACAAGGACTCTGAAATCAGACATTTCTTGGCTTGAGTCTTGGTACTGACCCCTATATGCTTTTAAGAAATGTTTCTCTTCTAAGAATGGATTTGGACCATGTAGGACCTGCAAGCAGTTACTTGTTCTTAAGAAGATGTATATATTCTTATTTGAGTAGAAAAAAGAGATGGTTAGAGAGCAGGCCCTTGTGTCAGACTGCCCAAGTTCATATCTCAGCAATATCACTTGCTGGCCATGTGACAAAGCAAGTGACTACTCTTCTCAACATTCCACTTGCAATATGATATGTCTAATATGGCTAATACTAGACTAATACATGATTAATAATATGACCTCCCCAACAAAGTTCTTCTGAGGTTGAAATGAGATGATGCCTGTAGAGCACTTAGAATAGTGTCTGGAATATAGTTAGTTCTCAGTAAATGTCAGCAATTTGTATTCTTCAATTAATATTTACTGATTACCTGTTCTAGTCCAAGCACTGCATCAGGTCACACCCACTACATTTAATCCCTATAAGAACTTTACAAGGTGAGTGTTGTTATATAGAAAAGTTAAAGAAATGATCTCAGAGAGGAGTCTATGAATAGTAGGTAAGAAAAAGAGAATGCAAGATGTTGGTAGATCCCAATTACAAATACGTAAAGTGAAATGCACTCTACATATGTAATGATATGCACAATTATAACTTAATGATTATTCGGCTCACTTTGTTAAGTTAGTCAAGTTTTTCTGTTTGTATTTTTAAGTAGAAGCAAGCAAGTGTGAGTTAGAGGACCCAGTTCCATTGCCTTTCTTGAGCCACGCCCTTCCTTCCCTCAAGTAGGGACAAGGCCATGTAAATGTCAGCCAGTGCTTACCTGGAGAAGATAGAGGAGTCCTGGGACAAACAAGGTGAGTGGGTACAGAGACTGGTATGTTGCTAACGCAAGAAAAATAGCGCTGAGGAAGGCACTACCTATAAAAAGAAATAAATGTATGGAATAATCCAGCCTCATTAATCAGGATTAGACTCAGTGAGTTCCCAAAACAAGAAACTTCCATAACTGCTCCAATAATTACCTGTCAAATGTCTCCTGGTACATAAGGTACCATGCAAACTCACACAGAGTGAGAGCTTCTTGGCTTGATTTCTGAGGGAAGGAAGTCAAGGAAGCCAAACCATTTACTTTAAGCAATCTGAGACACCACAGGTATATTTCTTGTAAAATTTTCATGCCCAGAAAGATTTTACAAAACTTCAGATCAAAAATGAATAAAGAGATCAAGTCTATTAACATCCATGTCCTATTTAGCATACCAACTGATTAAGCCTGCAATTATTGCTTTTGCTATTCAGAGCTGTGAAACCTGTACCTTTGGATATTGTAATACCCCACCATTATTTAAATAACAACCCTTCCTTATGTACTATCTTCAGGCCATTGTTTATTATTTTTTCAAGTTAAAGTATGTTAATATGTATTAATAATGTCCTCATTCCCTACCTACATAAAATGGGCAACTATGGAATTATTAAATATGATCTTATAAAGACTTTGAAGTGATATGGAAAGATATTTATAACATCCTATTGAAGATTATAAAAGAGATATATATTATGATCCCTTTTTAAAAAAAATGCATAAACACATTAAAAAAAGATTAAAAAGCTAGACTACAAAGGTCTCTGGTGGTTTTCTCTGGATCATCAGATTATGGATAATTTTTCATTTTTGCTTCTCTCTACTTTCTAAACTTTCTATAATGAATATGCTTTGTTTTTATCATAAGAAAAAACTAATTTCTTTTTTTAAAAACCAAAGTTATTCCCTTTCAGATGATTTAAGACAACAGAGTACCCTGAACCATGGCTAGAGAAACTTAGTTTACAACAGAGGTTTCAAAGTGGCCCAGAAATCAGTAGAGTACAATTGGTAGTCCAAGGCTGGGATCTTATAATCATGTTTCATAAAATAACAGTATTCATGGTCACTCCTGTTAGTGCAGGGTCACCTGTTCACTGAAAATGACAGACATCCTCTCAGTGGTGTTACACAAACAGGAACTAGTTACTATACTCAGTCCAAGGAGTTTTATCTTCTTCCAAACCAGCTCCAGAGAAAAAGAGAAGAAAAAAACTGGAAGAATTTTTAAATTTAGCATGATTTTCTACAGAGACTGTGGGTGGCAGAGAGAAGAGCCCCATTTGTCTGTTACCAGAAGAGGGAGGTTAATGTTCCAAATACATCCATTCTTACAAATGTGTTGAAAACAAATACAGGACTTTCACCTCTCTCCCCTGGAAGACACCAGGGGATGAAATAAACACAGCTGCATCCTGTCCTAATTGCCTGCCATCAGTAATTACTTGTCTGGAGCAACAGCACAAGAGAGAAGAAATGGCTCACAGCATTATAGGATGGACTTGTGAGTTTCAAAATACTTGCTCCCAAGATCTGTAGTCTTCCTTCCTTAGATGAAATCATTAGGAAGGAAAAATCTGCTCCTTCTACTATTCTTTCTACCACTATGTGGCATCAACATCTCCCCTATTCCTCACCCTCCAGCTCCCACACTCCTTCCACCAGTTACCATGCCCTGTTGATTCATTCTGGACCATCAGTCACCGTAGCGCTTGCTCTCATCATCTCTCACCTGGAGTTTTCAGCAGCTTCTTCCATCTCCTCCTCCCTGGTCTCCCCAACCCCCTACCAACTAGTCCATTCTCCACAGAAGTACCAGGAGGATCCTTCTAAACCACAGTTGAGAATGTGACAAGCCCCTCTTTAAAGACTTCTAATGATTCTATTTCATCTATTGTATTAACTCCAAACTCCAACAGCAAACAAGGCCCTTCACTATCTGGGTCTTATTTCTCCAGCTTCACCTCTCACCACTTTCCAACATATACCCTTGTCCTCCAGCTACACTGGACCATCCCCCAATTTTGGAAACCATCATGTACTTTCAATCTTCTGTGTGTGTTCTCAGGCTAGTCCTTCTGCCCAATCTGTCTTTCCTTGCCCTCCTTTTACTAGACTTATTCTTCACTGGCCAGTTGAGATGTCACTTCTTCTAGAGACTTAAGCCGAGTTAATAATAATAGTGATTATAGCTTACATTAATTGATCACTTACTAGGTGCCAGGCCCTCTCCTCTATCCAAAACAGTGCCTGACTCAAAAAAAAGAAAAAAAAAAAAAAGAACACTTAATAAACAGCATAGCAACCTTGTAAAAGCCCTATTTTTCTATCCATTTTTATTCTACCCATTTTACAGATGAAAAAAACCAATGCACAGAAACAGAAAGGTTAAGTTACGGAATTACCATAAGTAATGGAACCACTCAGCCGATTCCAGTGCCTGATCTCTTAATTCATTCAATATTGCTACTCTTTCTCTCTTACCCATTTGCCTGTGAGTTTCTCAAGGGCAATAAACCTCTCTTAACTTTCAATCTCTAAGACCTAGCACAGTGCCTGGCACATATGATAAATGAATGAATATCACTCAGTGATACATATGAAATCCTCCTTAAAAATCCACACATATTAAAGGAAACTAGTGTTCTTTACTGATACATAATTTGACATACATTATATTCGTTTCAGTTATACAACTTTATGATTTGATATTTGTGTATATTGCTAAATGATCACCACAGTAAGTCTACTTGAAACCAACTGGAATAGCAGTTGAGGACTTGTGGCAGGGGGCTGGGCACAGAGTGCTCTCTGTGAAATAGAGTATCAGATGGCTGAAGCCTGCGGTGCCAGGGGGAGAGATGTCATGCTGCAACAGTTGGGAGCTGGTGTGTGGGATGCTGGGGAAGGTGTGGATGGGCACATGCACAATCTGAGCAGAAGTGAAGGGGAGAACAGAGGCACACAGAGACTCAGACAAGACTGATATAGCAAGAAGGGGCAAGAAGAATGGGTTAGGAAGGCAGAAGGAAGATACATGCTTGGGGAAGGGTGATGAAAAATAAAAGTTAATGGTGGTTTCAAATATTTTAGACCAACCATGCAAAAAGCAAACATTTTTGAAAGGCCTGATCTGTGCCAAGCCTGTGCTGGGTGCCAGGGAGACTGGTGACTGAGACAGTCTTTGTCCTCAGGGAGCTCCCAGTAAACAATGATGAAAACAGGAGTAACTAATGAAGGAAGTATACCTCGCCCCACAGGGAGGCTGACCCCTGAGTTTTGAACAATGAGTAAGCAATCCCGCCCACCAGGACAAGAGAACAGCCTGTGCACAGGCAAGAGGGTGAAACTGGATGGTGGGCTGGGGGTGGAGGACGGGGACTGTAAGTAGCTAACATGACAAAAACAGGGTGAGAGTTGGGAGGAATGGCTGGAAGAGCGCACAAAAGGCACTCCTGTGGATGTTGGTAACTTTCTGTTCCTTAATCTGAGTGTGGTTACCTATCATTTTGTGAAAATTCACTGAACTGTACATTAATGATTTGTGCCCTTCTTTGTATATATGTTATACTTCAATATAAAGTTACAATCAATAGAGTGTCAGCAAGCAGGTAGATGGGGCCAGATCAGGGAGGGCTTGGCTTGCACAATCATCCAAAAACATCTAACTGCAGGCCTAGACATGACCCCTCAGATAATACTGGAAATGGCCACCACATCTAGGCATGAGGTAGGGCATCCTGCTCATCTAACCAGGGGAACCAGGCCAAGAAGACTGGATTTTACCAAAAGATATAATCTACTGTTTTCCTGCTAGTTCAGCTCAGATACTCAGACAATGGTTTTCAGTACAAGCCCTAGTCTTTGGCCTTATCACAGGAATATTAAAAGTAAATCAGTCAAATGTATATGAGCACTGGCTATAGTATCAGGGAGCTACATTATCTACCCAGTCTAGCTTTGAATATGCTTTCCAACTCTCTGTGACAGGGTGGGGGCCAAAACAAGCTTCGGCAAGACCTGGGGTAGCACTCTCCCTCTAGGGGCTGCATCTTGAAGTGATCTGGGCCTGAGTGGGTGGCTTAGCTAGAGAATAGAACAAGAATGTAGACAAGGTGGGGCTCTAGGGGCTGTTCAACATATGGACTTCAAGTGCAGGAGCAGAGACTGGGTCACAGACAAGTGACTTATACCAGCAGAGGCAGTCGGACAAACTGGAATGTGGTCAAAAGGGCTGAGGTCCCACAGGCCACTCAGAAGAGGAAGTTGCACTAGAGTCTGTGCCACAAGCAAAACTGCTGGGGGGAAGGAGGTGATGCTAGGGCCTGGCCCAATGAACTACACTCCTTGCCAGGTACTCTTTTAACAGGGCAGGCTCTCTCAGAGTAGTCCATTCGTGTCCCTGATGATGGTAATTTACTGAGCACGCCCTCTGTTCCAGTCACACTGGAAGCACTTTACTGGTATTAAGTCCTGCTAATAACTCCATGAAGTGGGTACTATCACTACCCCCATTTTACAGATAAGGGACTGGAAGGGCAGAGAGGTTACTTGTCCAAGGTCACAAAAGTAGTGAATAATAGTAATAGGATTTGAACCTAGACAGTCTCATTCCAGACCCTACACTCTTTAACTGCATCACTATGCTACTTTCTTGATCCCAATCTACGGCTGTACCATAAAAATCACAGTAAGTAGAGCCACTATTTGTTAAGTGGGCTCTGCTAAGGAGGCATGCTAAGCATTTTATTTTCAATTATCCCTCCACTAATCCATGAAGCAGGTATTATCTCTGTGAGCAAAATGAAGTTCTTGAGGCTGTGTGATTTACCCGAGGCTACAGAACAGGTATCTAGAAATAGCAGGTTTTGAAGTTGAGCTGATCTGACAAAACCCCAGGTTCCTTCACCCTAGGGTTCTTGGCTCCTCTATGACTCCCTTCACGGACAGGGCTTCTCCCGAGGGGGACCCCATATGGAAGTGAAGGGCTCATCAGGCCTCAGGGTCATCACTCTGCCACCATTCTTCCAGGGCTAGGCTCCAGGAAGAGAGC